TTTTATCTGGATTTGATACGTGGGTCATACTGGATTCATATATTGAGTTGGGAAGTGTTCCCTCTTCTTTCAAATGCTGAAAAAGTTTACAAAGAATTGGTATTATTTCTTAAGATACTCAACAGAATTCCCCAGTGAGGCCATCTGTACCTGTATTTCCCATTATGGGAAGATTTTTAAATTACTAATTTAATTTCTTAACTTGTTGTTGTTGTTGTTAAGTGCCGTCAAGTTGGTTCTAACCCATAGCGACCCTGAACAGGCTTTCTGAGGCTGTAAATCTTTACGGGAGCAGAAAGCCTCATCTTTCTCCTGCGGAGCAGCTGGTAGTTTCAAACTTCTGACCTTGCGGTTCGCAGCCTGATTTGTAACCACTGCGCTACCAGAGCTCCTAACTTGTCATAGGTCTATACGTATTTATATTTCTTCTTGAGTCAATTTTAGTAAGTTATGTCTTTCTAAGAATTTGTCCATTGCATTTAAGGTGTCTAATTTATTGGCATAAAGTTGTTTATAGTATTCCTTGGTAGTCACTAGTGGTATGTCTTCTTTCATTCCTGATTTTGACAATTTATGTGTTCTCTCTTAATTTCTTAGTCAGTCTAACTAAGGGTTTGTCAATTTTGTTAAACTTTCAAACAACTAAGGAGCCCTGGTGACATCAGGCTGCTAGATGCAAGGCTGGCAGTTCAAACCCACCAGCCGCTCCCTCCAGCTGCCCCACTGGAGAAAGATGAGACTTTATGCTCTTATGAAGATTTACAATTTAGGAAACTCTACTCTGTCCCATAGAGTCGCTGTGAGTTGTAATCAACTCGGTGGCAGTGGGCCATCAAACAATTAACTTTTGGCTTCATTAATCTATTGTTTTTCTATTTTCTGGTTCATTAATATGTGTTCTAATCTATATTATTTTCTTTCTGCTTGCTTTGGGCCTCGTTTGCTCTTCTTTCTATAGTTTTTAAGGTAGAAACCCAGGTTTATCGATTTAAGATATGTCTGCTTTTTGAATACAGGTGTTCATAGTGCTGAATTTCACTCTCAGTACTACTTTAGCTACATCTCGTATGTAAATTTTGATATACAGTTTCATTTTAATTCAGTTCAATATTTAATTTCCTTTTTAATCTTCTCTTTGTCTCCTGAACTATTTAGAAATGTATTGTTTAAATATATTTTGAAGTTCCTCAGGATTTTTCTATTGTGTATCTTTAATTTTATAATATCAGACAACAATTGGTATGGCTTCAATCTTTTAACATTTATTGAGGCTTGTTTAGTGGTCCAGCATATGATCTATCAGCTAGATAAATTTTTAAAATTTTATTTTGTATTAAGCATTTTCTACAGAGATGTAATTTATATACTATAAGATTCAGCCTCTTGATGTATACAATTCCGTGATCTTAGTGCATTCACAAGCTCATACAACCATCACCACAATTCAATTCCAGAACAGTTTTATCACCCTAAAATGAAACTTGTATCTATTGGTAGTTACTTCTCTTTTCCCTCCTTCCTCTGAAAAACTCCATTATCACCAGTCAAAACAAGGCCTGGGGCACACTGTGGAACAGACCATCAATTCCTCATATGCAAATTCAAACTGAAGCTGAAGAAACTGAAAACAAGTCCACAAGAGCCAAAATATGACCTTGAATATATCCCACCTGAATTTAGAGATCATCTGAAGAACAGATTTGATATATTAAATACTAAAGACCGAACACCAGAAGAGTTGTGGGATGACATCAAGACATCATACATGAAGAAAGCAAAAAGTCATTGAGAAGACAAAAAAGAAGGAAAAGGTCAAAATGGATGTCAGAAGAGACACTGAAACATACTCTCCAGTGTAGAGATGCTAAAGCAAATGGAAGAACTGAGGAGGTCCAAGAGCTGAAGAGAAAATTTCAAAGATCAGCTTGAGAAAATAAAGCCAAATATTACAACAAAATGTATAAAGATCTGGAATCAGAAACCCAAAAAGGATGAACACACTCAGCATTTCTCAAGCTGGGGGAACTGAAGAAAAAATTGAAGCCTCAACTTTTGTTATTGAAAGATTCTCTGGGCGAATTATTGAATGATGCAGAAAGCATCAATAGAAGATGGAAGGAATACACAGAATCACTGTACCAAAAGGAAATGATTCATGTTCAACTCTTTCAAGATGTAGCATATGATCAAGAGCCAATGATACAGAGGGAGGAAGACTAAGGTGCATTGGAGGAATTGGCAAAGAATAAGGCACCAGGAATTGATGGAATAAAATTTGAAATCTTTCAAGAAAGTGAGGCAGCACAGGAGGAACTCACTCATCTCTGCCAAGAAATTTGGAAGACAACTATCTGGCCGACTGATTGGAACAGATGCATATTTGTGCCCAGTCCAAAGAGAGGTGACCCAACGGAATGCGGAAATCATAGGACAACCTCTTTGATATCCCATGCGAATAAAGTTTTGCTAAAGGTAATACAGAAATGGCTACAATCACACATTGACAGAGAACTTTCAGAGGTTCAAGCCGGATTCAGAAGAGGCTGTGGAACAAGGGATATCATGGCTGATGTCTGATGGATCTTTGGCTGAAAGCAGAGAATATCAGAAAGATGTTTACCTGTGCTTTATTGACTACGCAAAGGCTTTCGATTGTGTGGATCATGACAAGCTGTGGACAACATTGTGAAGTATGGGTATTCCGGAACACTTAATTGTGCTCATGAGGAATCTGTACCTGGACTAAGAGGCACTTGTTATAACAGAACATGGGAACACTGAATGGTTTAAAATTAAGAAAGGTGTGCAACAAGGTTGTATTCTTTCACCATATTTATTTAACTTGTATGCTGAGCAAATAATCGAGAAGCTGAGTTCTATGAAGAAAAATGTGGCATCAGGATTGTAGGAAGACTCATTAACAACCTGCGATATGCAGATGATACAACCTTGCTTGCTGAAAGTGAAGAGGACTTAAAACATTTACTGATGAAGATCAAAGAGCACAGCCTTTGGTATGGATTACATCTCAATGTAAAGAAAACAAAAATACTCACCACTGGACCAATAAACATTTTTATCAACATAGAAAAGACTGAAGTTGTCAAGGACTTCATTCTTCTTGGATTAACTATCAACATTCATGGAAGCAGCAGTGAAGAAATCAAACGACATATTGCATTAGGCAAATCTGCTGCACAAGACCTTTTTAAAGTGTTGAAGAGCAAAAGATGTCAGCTTGAGGACTAAGGTGCACCTGACTCAAGCCATGGTATTTTCAATATCCTCATATACATGTGAAAGCTGGACAGTGAATAAAGAAGACCGTAGAAGAATTGATGCTTTTGAGTGATAGTGTTCAAGGAGAATATTGCAAGTGCCATGGGCTGCCAAAAGAACCAATAGATTTGTTTTGGAAGATGTGCAGCCAGAGTGCTCCTTGGCGTTCAAGATGGCCAAACTTTGTCTCCCATTCGTCGGACATATTGTCAGGAAGGACCAGTCACTGGAGAAGGATATCATGTTTGGAAAGGTGGAGGGTCAGAGAAAAAGAGGAAGACCCCCAACAAGATGGATTGGCTAAGTGGCAGCATTGATGGATTGAAGTGTGGCAACAGTAGTGAAGTGGACCCAGGATCGGGCAGTGTTTTGTTCTGCTGCACATAAGGTTGCTATGGGTTGGTACCGATGGCACCTAACAACTAAGTCTCTGACAACCATTAGTCTATTTTCTGTTACTACAGATTTGCTTATTCTGGCATTTCATATGAATGGAATCATACTATATGTGGCCTTACATGAGTGGTTTCTTACACTTACATAATTGTGTCAAGGGTTATTCATATTGTAGCATGTGTTAGTACTTCATTTTTCAAACGGTTGAACAATATTCTGTATGGGTATTCTACATTTTGCTTATCTGTTCATCAGTTGATACACATTTGGGTTGCTTCCATTGTTGGACTACTGTAAGCTAGGCCACTATGAGTGTTTGTGTAGAATTTTATGTGGGCTGCATTTTTAAGAGGTGTGTCTGAATCGCTAGGCCATTGGTCAAGTACCTGTATTCAAGGAATTGCAGAGTGCAGTGTGTGTATGAGGCCAACCCAAGTTCCTGGATGCTTACCAATAGTCTTTGGGTTAAAGAAGGGGCTGGAATGGCTGAGTCAACTCTTAAGTCCTAACTCTACTCTACATGTTTCAACTCTCCCTGGCTACATGCCTCACCTTCTGTTCTGAACCACAATTTAAGTGAGCCCTGCAGTATGGGTAATGAGCCATGACATCCACAACCAAAGAATCCAGTGTGCACATACACACACACACATACAGACTGTGAATACTTCTATTATGCTTTTGGGATGAAATGAAAAATGATATGTATCATTTAGTGATTCAAGAAAAGCAACAGTAAAAACCCTGCTCTAAAGTTAGTGGGGGGAAAATAATATCCATCAATCAATGGATGTGATGATGCCCAAATATTACTTTGGTTATAAGAAGAATCCCACATAAACTCCCACTTTTCTCTCCTTTGGGTTCTAAAACTTTCATCACTACATAGCAGTATATCTGTGGAGACAAGCATGCGGTGAGCCAGGCAGCGGTTCACCCAGGTTCTCTACTTTTATTCCTAGCGAGGCCCATCCAATTTTGACCTTCCTCTGTGATGCCCTTTCCCATCGTCTTTTACTTGGCCCTGAAAAGGTTGTGAATGTCCTTCTTCCCCAATCTTCATTCTAAAAATGAATCCTAACACTGTTACCTAAAAAGGCAGAGGTAGGGTATGTTTCTTTTCAACTCTCATTCTGGAAACAGCGAGGTGAAGGCTAGAATGAAATATAAGAAACCATAGGGTAAAAAATGTTCTCCAAGTATAATGGAAACTGATTAAGGCTAAGAGAGAGACACAGCACTTGACTAAAAGTTGGCCTGCCTTTGCAAATAAAACTGCATGTGACATATTCAGGTATTTTTTTATGAGACAAGACATTCTGTACCTGCTTGTTGAAATATCCTCAAAGGGGTAGAGGATCTCGCCATTGTTACAGATTTCGCAGATGAACCCCTTCTGGCTACACAGACTGCAGCTGTACACGTGTGAGGTGGCAAATTTAATAACCTTGCCCAAGAATGGAGCCAGCTTTCCCTCTATCACCTGCAGAAAGAGAAATGGGACAGAGAAGCAAATTCATTGAGAACAGAAGTCTTGCATATACAGGAGGACTAGAATCCCTGTCCTTTACCCAACATGAAAACCTCTCATTATAATTTCTCAGCAACTCAGAGAAAGCAAAGACATCGTATTTAAACCACTGGAAGTTGGAAAATGAAGATGCTGACAGCAGCATCACTGGGGTTTGGTGTCCCCCAGTGTGTGTGACTCATGGTGGGCCCCCTCCCTGGAGCTTCTGCTGTTCAAGCCATACAGAATCCTCAGTAATGCCTATAATCAATTTTAATCATCAAATACTGTGTGACAAATATCACTGTAAATTGCTTAAATGCAGTATTTCTTAGATTATATGGATAGTAATTTGTTTTGTAAAATCTTTCTACATTGAATGACAACATCAGTTGCAAGCAACTTTTATCCTTTTCCTTTAATTACTACTTCAGTCTCAAAAAGAGGTTCACAAATACTAATCCACACAATGTTGTAGCTTATACAACAGAAAAATTGACAAAATCAGTGAGTATAAAAACACTGGCACCAATGAAATGATTGTAGCCTGAGCAGATAAGCCATGTGACTCAAAGCATCATTGTAATTGTAACTAGGACAGCTCTGACTAGAGAGCATTTTGTTGTCGTTAAGTGCCGTTGAGTTGGTTCCAACCCATAGTGTCCCTGTATAGGGTTTAAGAGGAGCTTGAACCACTGACCCTGCAGATCAAGCTGACTTTGCAGTCCAGTGCGTTAGTCCACTGTGCCACACTGGGACTCCAAAGAGCATTAGAAGGTTCAAAAAGTAAATAAGCTTAAACTTTTAGTCTGGTAGATATAAGATACATGTAAGCTGGGCTTACAAAAAAAAAAAAGTTTTTGCTGTTATAACTAACTGGAGGGATATTTTTATTTAAAAAAAAAAAAAATTGTGCTGAAACACAGCACAAAAATTTGACAGACATTTTGGTCTTACCCCCACTGACAGCATCACCTGGTGAGGTCTGCACCCCCGGCACTCCCTAAGTGATGCCAAAGGATGCTGAAACTTTCTTGGTATTCCTCTTTGCAATGTGGTGTCGGGGATAGAGGACCAAGAAATGAGGCTGCCTACTTTTGGAGACCAAGTTCACAGTTATGGTATGGGATAAGAAGAGTGTGGTCGATTTGTCAAAATAGATTTAAAACTTAAGTTGTTGTTATGTGCCGTGGAGTCGGTTCCGACTCATAGCGACCCTGTACAGAGTTTCCAAGGTTGTAAATCTTTACGGGAGCAGAAAGCCTCATCTTTCTCCCGTGGAACAGCTGGTAGTTTTGAACTTCTGACTGTGAGGTTAGCAGCCCTATTCATAACCACTATGCTAACAGAGCACCTTCACAAAACATAAGAGTAGATGTTAATTTAAAATCTTTTGTAAATTCAATAATATCCTCTCTGGGATGAGTTCATTGGATAGTTTTTTCACCATGGCCCACAAAGAATACACCACAAATGTAGAAAAAGAAATTTTTTTCTGGTCACTGGTAAGTACAATAATATAAAGACATTATAAATGGGCAGCTTGAGAGTCATATTCAGTCTGTAGATTTTCTTTTTTTAATTGTGTGCACTAATTTTTTTTTTTTTTTTGAGCTAATTTATAAAGTTTGGGAGATACTACTTAAAAGTCTAGCTTTTTGGTTTCTTTTGGAAAAGGAAAGATCTTATAAAACATGGCTTGAATGTGAGCATGGTAATGGGGCTGTTTGCTCCACAGGTGAGTCATGTTTCTTCCAGTGACAGTCATCTGCTTGTCTTACATTTACCTCACTTGTTGGGCCAGCAAACATCCAGGAGTTTAGGACCCCAAGCCAGTCAGTGGGCTTCAAACACTTAGTAGTCCACATACTGACCATTTCAAATCTGCCTTTATTCTCTTTGCATCAATGCATGTACCTATACATGTTAATTTTGATTTTTTTTTTTTTTAAAGAAAAGCACAGAATTAACTTTATTTTGGAAATCACTAGATGTTTTCTTACAAATGTTAATGTAAAAATAACATCTGTGGGAAATACAGTAAGTCATATCTAAAGGGAAATTATATTGGCAAAATGAATAAATAATAATAATAGATAATACACCAAAAAAACACTGCAAAGGATATATTCATGTGTTCTGCAATAAAGTAAAACTGTACATTAATAGTGGAGATAAAAACTGAGGCCATTTTAAAAACATCATGGAAGAATTTAAAAAGAAATATAGCAGTGGTCATTTCTAGGAAAGGGAACAAGTTAGAGAGGCAAGTCTTTCACTTGGTATAATTTTTGTGTTTTTCACAATGTGTATAATTTTATATTAGAATGCAAAAAGTGAACAGAAAAATCAGGTTCATTGCCTTATGAGAATGGATCTTTTTTCTTTTTTTTAAAATAAAAAGTAGAGGGCGGGAGCTGGGGATTAGAAACTATCTTGGGTAAAGCAGAAAAAGTTTCCACCTTTCTTTGACTTGCGGTCCTCTGCACTACCCTTAGGAAGCCACAGATAGACCTCCTTTATTTATAATCTTTCAGGTATTGTTAACTCCAATAATCCCAGTAAGGCATGCTCCTAGCACCAGCACATAATACATACTTTCTAAGAAATAACCACTACCAAATCATATACTTAGCCACTAGTAAACACTTTCCAATGCGTCATAGGGTTATTTCTAAATAGTGGTAACAGTACTTCAACTGAGTTTGGTTTTCCCTATTTCACTCTTCCCTACACAATTAAGTTTAATGCTATGTTTAAAGAGAGGCACTAACAAATTGTAATACATTTAGGGAAGACTACCAGAATACAGAACAATATGGAAGCCAAGTGAATAAAAATTGTTTGAAGGAACTGATGATGAGAAGACCTCTAGGAGGACATGACATCTTAGATCAAAAGGCAAATTCTTACCTGTTTATAAATACGTTTCTCTACCTAGTTAATAGGGTATGAACATTTGGAAGGCTCTTAAAAATGTTTTATTGAATAACACTGCCAGCAATGTATATTTATTTCTATTTAGAGTTAATTCTTATTAAAAATGTATCTCTTTCTTATTGAAATGCTGGACAATGCAATAAGACATGACATATAAACAAAAAGTATAAATCTTAGAAAGAAATGGAGTGAGGGATTATTTCCAGAAAATCCAAAAGAATAACCTAAAAATGCTTACCATTGATGAAAGTGCCAATATAACTACTTAACAAAAATGCATGGGTTTTCCTTCTTGTATAAGCCACCAACATTTATTATTTAGGGTATTTTAAGCTTAAACTTTATATAATTTTTAAAATTACCCACTACTAGTTGCTATGAGTCAGAACCGACTCCACGGCACATAACAACAATAACAACAAACTACTAATATACTAGAAAAAAATGAACATATTACTGAACTTTCATCAATGCTAAGCATTTTTAGGTGCTTCTTTGGGGTTTCTTCCTAATATTTGTACTTATTGTTTATATGTCATTTCTTATTGCATTGTCCAGCACTTCTAAAACAGTATTAAATAATAATAGTGGTAATAGCTATTCATGTTATTTCACTGAGAACCAAGATGAAAACTATGTGGCCTACAATGAGTGATTCATGATCTCTATCAAACACATATATCATTTCATTCACTGTAGGTTTTTAAATTTTTTTCTCTTTAAATAATAGCTTTACTGAGATATAATCTATATACCATATAATTCACCTATTTAAAGCACACAATTCAATGGTTTTTAGTATATTCAGGTTTGCAATCATCATCACAATTTTATAACATTTTTATCACGCCCTCCAAAAAAAAAACCCTGTACCTATTAGCAGTTACACCTCATCCCCCTTTATCCCTCCAGGACTATTACTCTAGCTTTGCCTATGATGGGTACATTTGATATAAATGGAACCATATCATATGTGCTCTTTTGTGACTGGCTTCCTTCATTCAGCATGGCATTTTCATAGTTGATGTTGCTTTTCTTTTAAATGTCTCTAATGTAAGTCTCTTTTTTCCATCCTATCCCATGATCTCATTAACACTCTCTAGTTTAATAAAATAATTGAATTTTATTTCCTGATGCCAAACTTTTTTTCTTTGATCTGCCCAGCATATATGAATAAATTTTAGAAATCACTTTCATCATGTTATATCATCTCTTTCCTCCAACCTTATTTTATCATTAATTTCCCCCCAAAATCTTATTATTGTATCATTAATAAAAACTCTTGACTCATTCATTCAATAAAATTCCATGGAGTTACTATGTCCCAGACACTAGATACAAGAGTAAACTGGATAAACTGGAGCTCACATTTTATTTGGTATGCAAGTGTCTTCATAAATGAAATCTAGACTATGTCTTCCAATGCATTTTTCCCATTTCCAATATATACATCTTTTGTGTGAACAAATTTTTCCCTGAGCAGAATATGTTTACTCTTGCTCTTGATCCTTTCCCCATGCCATTTCTTCTCCTTGGTTCTCTTGTCTTGTCAGTTACTTACTTCTCACCTAGGCTTCCTGGCTAAGATTTACTGCATCTTGATAGACATGTGTCTTTGGCTTCGTGACCTGTCATTGACATCTTGGGCTTCTCTCTAGTCACTGTAACCTTCACATCACATAATTCAATACAGACTCTGATGATGCTTCATACTCTTCACTATTGTTTAACACATGATAATTTAACCACCCTGGCTATATGTTGGACAGATAAAAACTGATATTTGCTCACGTTCAGGGCACTCAATCTGGGGGTCCTTGATGGAGCTGGTTTTACTGTCTGTCAGGACCACAGGGAAGCTGGGGGCAGGGTGACTGGTTCAATGCTGGTCTAGTGGCTCTTTGAGCTTTGTAGTTCTGGAGCTGAGCACACCTGAATCCAGGCACCAAAGTGGCATACCAAAGCAGTATAACTGGCCTCCACCTCACAGTGGTGTGTCTCCTAACCATGCGGCTCTGAACTCCTGGAGAGCA